GTTGCTGACCGAATCTTTCTTACCAGACAACAGATTTGTTCTGATTTGTTATACAAAATAAAGCTTTAGAGGTGGTACATTCATTGATTTTTCCGTTATAATACATGAATTTGGCAGATGTTATGAACGATTTCCCTTTGTTGTTACAGTGTCTATAAATGTCCTCGTGAATTTTCAGCTTGGTTGATCTCCAGCGTCTCTCAGCTCGTCTACGTTCCATCTTAGATTGCTTAATTTCCAAAGTCATCCACGGCCCACGGGGCAGAAGGTCGATCAGTCACTGTTCTAGATTTGACTGGTGTATGTTTGTTTAGTAGTTGACACATCTTGGTGTTGAAAGTGTCTACCTTCTCGGAGGTTTAACCGTGTATGAATTTTAGAAACTAGCGAATGTCCGCTCTAAACTTTCCATTATCAATGTCCATTTAGAGTAGAGTAGAGTAGAGTAGAGTAGAGTAGAGTAGAGTAGAGTAGAGTAGAGTAGAGTAGATTAGAATAGAGTAGAGTGGAGTAGAGTAGAGTAGAGTAGAGTAGAGTAGAGTAGAGTAGAGTAGAGTAGAGTAGAGTAGAGTACAGTACAGTACTGTACAGTACAGTAGAGTACAGTACAGTACAGTAGAGTAACGTAACGTAAGGGAAAGTAAGGTAAAGAAAAGTAAAGTAAATTAAAGCGTAGTGAAGTGGAATCGACCCGAGTCGAGTCGAGTCGAGTCGAGTCGAGTCCCCAGTCCAGTCCAGTCCAGTCCAGTCCAGTCCAGTCCAGTCCAGTCCAGTCCAGTCCAGTCAAGTCAAATCAAGTCAAGTCAAATCAAGTCAAATCAAGTCAAGTCAAGTCATAGTATTATAAAAGTCGATGTACCGTGAGATCGTAGATGATGAGAGAACCGTTGCTGAGCTGTCTGATCCGGTCTCCAAGCTTGACGGGCCGGGAGTTCTTGGTCCACAGAATCTCCGGGGCGGGGTCTCCGCCTACAGAGCAGTCCAGTACCACCTTCTCTGCGATGCGCACCGCCCAATCAGACGGCGGGACCAGCACACGGGGCGGGACTACATGGGGTGAGTGACAGGGAGGAGAGCCAATGGGAGCGAAGATAAAGAGGGAGAGATGTTTGTGTAAGTGAATATCCACCGAAGACACTAACTGCTACACCTGTACCACAGACGCTGGTATGTCACAGAGACAGGAGTGACAAGAACAACAAAAACTGCAAATAATAAACAAAATGCTCAGCTATGTATTTCGAACTGAATTCTATAGCGATAATATGAAACCATGGTTCCCTTACTATGAAATACTACTACTAATCATAATAATAGTATTTAGTTTTAGTAAAGAGTTTCACGGCACTTGCCACACAATACGGTCATATAAGTGCCGAAGATTAGAGGTGTTACAAGAGAGTAACAACAAACGTAAAAAAGAAGGAGAGATAAGGACGATAGCTGTTTAGAGGAAAGAAGGAGCAAACCACACCAGAGCACCCGCCAACCACCCACATAATAATAGTATAAAACAAACAAAATTAAAATTGGACAACTTTGATGTAATGCTTCAGTTCATACAGCAAGACGATCATTTGACACGGAGAACAAAGTAAACGACAACAAAGGTTCGAAAAAAATCTTCATTAAAAAACCCACATTCAAACAGATAATACAGAGGTAAAATAACAACAACTAAGGTATAGATCTATAGTAAGCCTACACTTGAATGTCTGTCCTGCATCCGTCGATCTGCTTTTCTCGTTTACTCTTAGCACAAAAACAATATTAATATAGTTTATCATTATAACAAACAACTGACCTTTCACGATGACCCTTGCACTGGCGGCGACCTGCTGTTCGTTGGCGGGGTTGGTGGCCACGCACGTGTACTCTCCCGCGTCCTCCTTCATGGCGTTACGGACTGTCAGAGTACTCACGCCGTTCAGGCTGGGCGGGGCTACTCGCAATGATTGACAGGTGGGACGACAGTAGAGATAAAAAAAAAAATAACATACATTCATTAATATATCATTGATATAGATATACATACATATATATTATATAGAGTCAATTTTTTTTTTATTTCTGTTTGTTTTGTTTTGTTATAACGATCCATTCAGTGTGTAAATAAAATAATAAATAGAAGCACACGAACGCGTTGATGGTCGTTTTGGTGTTGTAAAGGGTACAACAGACATATTGAGAGCCACGGTCGTTCAGACTGGGCGGGGCTACTCGCCGTGATTGACAAGGCGAACGAGAGAAGAGATTTAATACTGTGTTTATATAAGCCATTTTGTAGTTTTTTTTTCTCCTTTCAACGATCTATGACAATGTGTACTCAGTCGCACATGAACAAGTCACGATCAAGGGTAGTTTGGTGTTGTGAGAATGAGCTAGAAATAATTATACACAGAGTACTCACGCTTTTCAGACTGGGCGGAGCTACTCACGGGCATTGACAGGGCAAATGAGAGAGGAGAAAGACAATACTATATCTTTTTTTTTCTCCATA